CAGGTGGCAGCAATTTCACCCCTATAGTAAAGGCATTTATGTCCATGCTCATTATCCAAAGTGCTGACTTGTCATGCAACCCAAACGGGGGCAGATCTCTCACTCTCAGTCAGAACAAGGCAAATGTTACACAACTGCCACCCCTGCAGAATTAGTCATTACCTCAAAATGCATCTTCCTACTCAACAGCTCCCTATAAAGGGCTGGGTCTTCCAGGACATGGTAGCCATGGCCGATCCGTTCTGTCTTCAGAACATTGATTGCCTGTAGAGAATATAAAACATGTAAAGTCTCAGCTCTGTGCAAGGGCCCTAACTCCTGCTCCCCAGAGGATCAGGCCGGCCCACAGGAGCTCCTGAGCCCTCCAAGCCCCATACCAGGACTCCAATCCACTGCCTGCATGACATGGGGGCCCAGCTCCTAGGAGGGCCTAATCCTTCCGAGCGCTATACAAGTATATGAGGCTCCATATCCGGCTCCCTCTTTGTATGATGCACAGACTCTGCTCCCTTAGAGCAATGGGGGGATTTGGCTCCCAGGGGCTACTGAGTGCTGGGCTAGGATTTGGCCCTAGCTACCTTTGTTCCCTGCATTACAATACAGAGTATTCCGCAACTCTGCTGTAACTTATTCCACTGCCCTGCCCTGGGGTTTCTTACCTCCTTGATGACAGAGGGTGACCCAACCTCCCCAGCATGGCAAGTGCGATGAATGCCACATCTTTCAGCTTCCTGGAAAAGCCCACATGAAGCAAAGAGTGAAAACGCTGCTGTGAGTTTAGGGAGGCACAGAGGCAGGGGCGGGGGGGAGAGATGTGAACAAACTATCAGGACAGCAGCCCCACCACCGACTACTCTCTGCCTTCAAGACAGAGCGAATGCTTCCAACAGATCATTAGGCTGAGAGCTCTAGAGCAGCCAAGCGCTCCAACCCCAGGAGTAACGACTGTGGAGCAACACAATCAAAACGAGAAGAAAATCAATTACCAATCTCAGACAGCGTAGGAGCTGGGTAGGGAGTGTCTGGGAAGCCCAGCCTGCACTAGGCAATGAAAGCAGTCACCAGCTGGCAGTTATTCATAGTCCACATGCAACGAGTTTGGTGAGTCTCAGTCCAGTCCCTGGTGTCCACATCACACAAACACCCCCACAACTACAAATGTCCCAAGGACTAACTGAGCCTTGGAGACCAACCTGTCCTCTCCTCCCCTTGAGGCACGCTGGCTGAGGTGACGAGGAAGGGGGGAAGCTCCCACTGCTGTGGCCTGTGCTGTATCTGTTCTAGAGAGGAGGGCCTGCTGTCTCGGAAGCTCTTAGCTTGGCACCTTTCATCAGTCTCACTCACACATACACACACAGGTTGCTGTAGCTGTTTTTTATTACTGGATTTTTCATGTGCTTTGTGAATTTTCTATTGGTTTACAGCCACTGCATATCCAGGCTCCGCTCTGAACTACTGGGTAAGACACGGCTCCGCTTGGTATGTTAATAAGAAAAGCCTAGTTGCATCTAAATTTTGAAATTAAATCGAGACTCCCTGTGTCTACAGCGATAGCTTTGTTTTAACACACACTTGTCGTATGTCCTGCACAGAACAGGGACTCAGACAGTTACCCCGAAGGCTGACCAGTCAGGGCTAAGCTTACCCTCCCTTCCCTTCACACTGGCCTTTCACTCGTGTCAGAAACTGCTAATTTGCAGAGTTCTGAGGATGAACAGATTGATCCAAACCCCATATCTATGGAATGACTCCAGCAGGCTTTGGACTGGGCTCTGAACTATCAGAGCGCAATGTTCCTCCTACTGATCCCCATGTTTGATTAAGTAAGAGTCAATGAGAGTTTTGCCATTGACTTCAATGAAGCATGGCAGGGCTCTGAGAAAATGTGTTTCAGAGAACCCTGAGTCAGCAATTTAAGACAAAAATTCTGTGCTCAGGCAAAACTCCTGCTGAAGTCTGTGGGAGCTTTGACTGTGCCAGGACTGCAGGAGGTGGCTCTGAAGCCAGATGTCTTAAAGATAAACAACATTTTGTTTTAAACACTATTTTGTTTCCAACGTGTGTTAAATGCACAGGCCAGCTCTCAGGGCAATGACCCCAGAGTGAATCTCCCTGCCTGCCCAATTCCCATCATTTTGCCAGCTCCCTTACCAAGGTCACGTGCATGAAGCAAATTAACCTGATCTACAGCTCGCAGGAGGATCTTTCAGAGAAAACAACTATGTTTATCTCCTCTAACGTCTGTGATCAAAGAGTGCCACGGTCGGGGGATAAGGGGTAGCGTATTGCACAGAGACAACTGCTGCTTTCCAAGATTCTACCTCCAACCCCACAAGGTACCTTCCATTCCATCAGTTCCAGTTACTTGCTCTTTCATTAAGATCCAATGTGTCTGCTCGCTTTTATTGTTCATTTATGTATCCCCCTCTGGTGCGCTATGCGGATTAGAAAACAGAGATTTCTGTGGGTGTGGGGGGGTGCGCTGGGGAGGAGGGAAGCCAGGAATATCTCCCCCACCTCCACTCAGGGTATGTCTACACTGCAATCACAGGTGCGACTGGAGCTCGGGAAGACATACGGGAGCTAGATTTAATCTAGCTAGCTCAGGTTCCAGAGCAGTGAAGCTGCAGCAGCGCACAGAGTGGGGTAGCTGCCCAACAATGACACAGGGTTACAGGCAGGTCTCTACAGTCCACACCG